GGTTCTCAAATTTCCTGAGATCTGTGCAGCTACCGTTGGATCATCTGGTTGAAATGAGAGATAGAGCTGTGTGTCATCAGCATAGCCATGGTAGGAGAAACCATGTGCCTGTATGATGGGTCCCAGTGATTTAGTGTATATGGAGAAGAGGAGGGGTCCAAGAACTGATCCCTGAGGAACCCCAGTGACCAGTTGATGTGCTTTGGATACCTCCCCTCCCCAGGCCACCCTGAAAGACCTACCTGTGAGATAGGATTCAAAACAGTGAAGTGGAATCATGTGATGCCCAGTGATGAGAGAGTGGACAGAAGAATCTGATGATTCACAGTATCAAAAGCAGCAGATAGATCCAGCAGAATGAGAACTGATGATTTGGAATCAGCTTTAACAATCCGCAAGGCTTCAGTGACTGACAGTAACGCAGTCTCAGTTGAATGGCCACTTCTGAAACCTTACTGGTTAACGTCCAGTTGGCTATTCTGTGAAAGAATTAATGATATCTGGTTGAAAACAATTAGTTGGAGGGTTTTCGCTATGAATGGAAGGAGAGAGACAGGTCTGTAGCTATCTACAAGTGAAGTGTTTAATGTAGGTGTTTTTAAGCAGTAGGGTTACCCCAGCCTGCTTGAATGCAGTGGGAAAAATGGCTGTGAGAATAGATGTGTTGATGATATGTGTGAGAGCTGGTAAGAGTGTAGGAGAGACTGCTTGGAGAAAGTGTGATGGGATTGTGTCTAGAGGGCATGTTGTAGGATGGCTGGAGAGGAGAAGTTTAGATACTTCTGCCTCAGTGAGGGGATAGAAGGAGGAGAAAAGAGTTTTAGTAGCGGATGTGGTTGGTTTAAGTTCCTGTATGCATGGAGCTGAGAACTAACTGCTAATGGTTTTAGTTTTGTCTGTGAAGAATGTAGCAAAATCATCAGCTGTTAAAGTTGGTGGAGGGGGACAGAGGAGAGAATTGAATGTTTTGAAGAGATTGCATGTGTCTGAAGCGCTGTTGATCTTGCTGTGGAAATATGAAGATTTGGCAGTATGGACTTCAACAGAGAAAGATGAAAGCAAAGACTGATCCATAATCAGGTCTGACGGATCTTTTGATTTGCGCCATTTCCCCCCTGAATTCTGACTTCATTCATTCATACATCCATCCATTTTAAAGTCATTTAGTCATTTAATTTAACCTTTAATTGCCCAAATTTGTTACTTCTAATTATATTTATTTATTCATTTATTTCTTAATTTTTAAATTATTTTTATTTTAGTCATTTAATCTTTAATTTAATTCCCCTTGTATTTGTAACTTCTAATTAAATTACATTTATTTATTCGTTGATAATTATTAAATTATTTCAAAGTCATTTAATTTAATCGTAGAGATCTTGACAGGTAAAACAATTTAAATCATACAACATACAAGACGTCAAAGCTTCAACAAGTAAAGGTAGTTATTTGGTTACCTTGTAAATCTTGTAATAAATAATTCTGTTTGATATATATTTTATTATAGCTGATGTTTCCTAGCGGGCTTAATTATTTTAAATTTTGGAAAACAATATAGAGGTGAATTATTGTAGTGACTGATTGTTTTGCTGTTATCAACAACACAACTGCAGTTGGGTCCATGTGTTGTTATGAATGTTATTATGTGTTGTTGTGAACGTTATTATTGAAAAAATTTGTCGAGTTGTCAATTCATAATTACAGAAATTCCAACACAACATGAATGTTGCTTTAGTTTAATGTGAATAGAATCATGGGTAAGAATGTTGCCATGATACCATCATGGTGCACTTTTGTTTTTATGATGTTAGAAATACAATAACTTTTCAAAAACTGATTTGAAGGGTACAAAAGATGCTAGGCCAGAATCAAACATCGGCACACAATGGTGCTCAGTCACCTACTTTCAGAGGCCTGTGTTCGATTATGTGCTGGCTGCTCCTTTCATCAGCAGACTCTTACAGTAAACCGAAAAAATCAATTGAGCTGGAAAGAAAAGAGAGGTCGGTGAGATATAGTTGAACTAATAACCATTGACAGACTGATGACAATTCAGAAAGAGAGAGAGAAAGAAAAGGTGTATTGCGTAGCAACAGTCTTTCTTGGGATTTGGAGTGAATTAGCCATGAAAACACTGAAAATACCAAGGGCAATACAACAAAATGGTTTAATATCTGAGGGAAAGGTCAATCCCTATCTACTCAACTAGTCGAAGTAAAAAACTGCTGCCATTTTATGCATTTTCTCATTCTGATTTGTAACTAATGTACTGTAAATGGCTAATGCTAGCACTCATAGAAGCGCTAGTGGTGTTGAGGCAAATAGAAGAAAAGGGACCTGTAAGGAGCTTGGGTTTGGACCAAGAAGTCCAACTAACTGTAAAAATGCTCCAAGTTCTTCACTTTGTTAATAGCAGAGTTTAGTCCAAAACTAAACTTAATCGGTGTCTGGGAAGCTAGCTTTGCGGTGTGTAAATTTATTGGCTAACAAAACTATAAATAGAAGTGCAACATTGTTAACACGCCGTGAAGCGATGCCAGGCCTGGGAAAGAGAAGGTTTGATAGAAACAACACTTTCCAGAGCTGTAATGACAATAAATGGTTGAAATCTTAGCTTCTTTCTCTGTTTTTCGGGGTGTGTTGCATGGGGACATGATAGACAGCCTTGCGTGAGAGTCAAGCGGACAGTGAACAGCAGCCCGCGGGTTCCCGGAGAGGAGATGACTCGACTCATCCGCACTTCCAAACATGAGCGGACACCTCAGTCTGGGGCCAGAGCCAGATGGCGAGAGAGAAAGACAACATCCCATACAAAAAATAAATACAGTGGTGAGATCATGATATCAGTGTATCACATAGCAATACTATGGTAGTTTGATTAATACCATAGTATTACATGATTACCATAAACAATATGGAAGTATTTACTGGTACTTCAAAGAATGCCATGGTATAACAATGGTAAACATTTTACAAGCTAACATCATTTGGCAACCTGTAGCCTTCTAAACTTCAATACAAACATCACACTTAGCCAGCATGTTGCTACTAGTAAATATTACCACAGCTAGCTGATATGATGTTGACTTTTTATTTTGAAAACTTACATGGTTAAAAAGAAACCCTAGTATCAAATCAAAAGAAACACTTGGACCAAACAACTTAATATTCATGAACAAAAGCCATTAAATATTAATTGAAACTCCTCATTTATAAATTAGTAAGCATTAGCTTGGTAGCTACCTACTTTTCAGTCTCCATAGCTGCTAACTGCCAGCATAGCAAAGTCCCTGGGTGTGACCCATGGTACCATGTCCAAAAAAACATTTTCCAGTTTCTTCTAAAATATTTCAATAAATACACCAATCCTTTATGATCACATAACTGTGTGCATCTGAAAACTGGTTGTAGCATCTGAAAATAGTTGAATGTTTTATGACAATGGCATTTTTGTCTGTCATTTATTAGAAAAAAAAAAAAAGATTTCTGGAAAACCTCTGAATGTAATTTGTCTTGAAAAAAATTTAAAACCCCCTTAGCCCTGATGAAATCCAGCTGGACTAAGTGGTAGCTGGTTTAAAATGGTTATGAACTAGTCATTTATGGTCATTAGCCAAATAGCTGATTAGCAGAGTTTGAAACGACATGAGGGTGAATAAACAACAGAATTTTTGGGTGAAGCTTTCTTTTGAAAGCAGATCCCAGCTAACAGGAAACTTTGGCTAATGTTCTGGCAAGGTTCTCCGAAAGTTATCAACAAACATTCTTCTAGTAATATTAACAGAACATTCGTTCAAAGTTAGCGAGTCCCAAAACATTACTCATGTCTAACTCCTAGTCACTTCCTCTCTGTCTCTTACTGTCCCTGTCTGGCTCCATCTCCAGAGATCTCTCTGCTTCTCTTTCTACATCTCTGTTTTGCTTTTGTTGCTAAGGCTAAAGGGAGACCTAGGAGAGTTAGCATTCCTCTCAAGTGACTGATCTCGTCACAAGTGTGCAGAAATCACACACCGATACATTGAGAGAGATTTGTATTATTTAGACACACTACGGCACTCCAAATAGAACAATAAACAAAATATGCTCAGCGTTTGCTACAGTATTTTTTTAGCATGTTGCTACGCATAATAGCATTGTATTAGGAATGAACTAAAATGATGGTGAATAATCTGTCTTAACTTGACTAGAATGATACCAACTGTTTCCTTAAAAAAAAACAAATATGATTGATTCTAAAACAAAAACATGGCAAACCATTGACATGGATGACAATTTCTAAGCAAATAGTAAAACATTTAAATTCTGGAAATTAAATTTACCTGTATGGCACCATGTTATTTTTATTCATTTAAAGTGTAAAACTTCTTAAAATATACAAACAGAATGCACAACCTGAAAAAACATATACAATATTTACTCCAGAAAACATCTCTCTAGAAGCCTTACATCTTGTGCCGGAAAAAAGTCAAACCTGGTTAGATTGCAGTGCTCTTTAAAATAGTGCTTACAACAATATGAAATAACTTGACTATCTACAAACTCTTTAAACTTTTCTCATATACATGTTAAAAGAAATTTGAATCCATAGTCGAGCCAGTGATACCTCTTATAGGAAATGTCTGCAAATACAGTATATATATATATGAATTAAAAAAAAGAAACGTAAAACAGAGGCTGGCCTGGAAATGTATTTTCTCTGTGACTTCATAATACTATAACATTTAACAATATTATTCATTAAACACCTCGCAGCACCTTGATGAAATATTCTTTTTCTTTTTTAACTGCTTTACAATATACTCAACACATTCAACAATGTAAGCTTCCAGAATCTCTTTTCATGGACAAAACAAAACTGCTCTTGAACTGGTTTTTGAAATGCATTAATGATAAGTTCTGGACAACATGGTCTCATGTCAAACTCATAATAATTAGAGTTAACCATGTTAAAAATCGTAGTAGATTGTACAGGTTGGCTCGTACAAAATGTACAATAATTACTTCATTTGAGACAATTCAAAACTTGCATGTACATATTTGATGCCTTTACCTGACTTACCCGGTTAACTCTTACCAATTATTACGCGTTCGTCACAAGACTGGGTTGGTTCTGGATTCACTATACACATGAACAATACACATTTGATCTGGAATCATCTTTCCAAAATCTAATCTCACAAAATGTAATAGTGTGAAGGATTCAGATCTACAAGTGACATCTACAGAAGAGTCTCATTCTTTTTTTGTATAGCTAAACTGCTTTATTATTGACAACGCACATAAGTATTCTTTAAACTGTCAGTAAACTGAAGGTAACACCCTTGCTTTTTTCATAAATAAATATACATCCCAATCTTCTGTTCATATAAACATAAAAAAGTCTTTTACTGCGTTTCAAGACAATCAGTTTTGTAAGAACGATACGCTGCATACACTCCTACGTGATTTACAGACATTGCATCGCATGTCACGCAAACATAGTTTTGTGAACAATTTTGAATGAGGCCCAATTAACGGCGACTGACATCACACACATACTTATGCACAAACGTATCCCAACATGCACCTGTTACAGACGGACCATCTCAAATTGGGATCAACTGCATCTGCCAACTGGAGAAATTTCCCTACGTCTCACAAAGCATGGAAATAATCCAAACATAATTAATACATAATTAATTCATAACTGAATTACTAATATAAATGCGAGTGCTATCACATTATCTTGTGTGGAATATTCAGCAATTGGTTTGATATTTCAGAGGTCAGTCTGGCTCATTTGAATTAAGAAGGAGATTAATTTATTCAAGTTGATAAGCAAACCTAAAAAAAAAAAAAAATTGAAAATTGCAATTTTTTATGTATTTTTTACGTTTGGTTTGACAGTCCTCTCTTGATTGATGGCATCTTTTGGGATGGATCTGTATTCAGAGGTAGAAACCAGTGGTCTGGGTGTCAGGGGGAGGTGGGAGTGGCTCAGGAAGCGGGTGAGGACTGTTGCCGGGTGTGGCCACTGCATTGCCGTTGGGAACCAAACAACTTCCTGTGTAGGCCACACTAGCAGAGTTGAGTATAAAGCCTGTCTCCATCTGGAAACAAACAAACAAAAAAAATGTTAGAATGTATGTAACTAAATGGCTAAAAGCTAGCTAAAAGTGTACCAATTTTAGGATGATTAGCATTATGATCATTTTCATGTCAATTAAGAACATTGTCCTTCCATAATTTTGCAGTTTTTCGAAAATAGTTTGCACCAAAACATGGCTTCTGTTAGCCTAGCTTAAAACAGCTTTTGAAAGTCATATAGTGTAAATACAAACTAAAATTGACAAAATCCACAGCGAGCAACCATGACCTTTCATTAGCATTAGAAGAACTTCTCTGCTATTGACCCAAATTACAGAGCTCACTTATGGTGCTAGCTTATAGAACTAGCACAGCCGTGGCTTATTTAAGCAGGTTAGTGGCATCTGGACAGCAGATGTTGTGTTTGCTGGGGTCATTTTAGGTCTTCACAAGATACATTCACCAGGATCATAATCAGGAACAAAAACTAATTCCATGCTGTTTTTGGAGGAACTCATCAAAATAATCAAATTCCAAACTGCCACATACAACATGCTAACCAAAACAAATCTTAAAGATTAGCTGGGTAAAAGCTTTTAAAAATTACATCACTTGGCATAATTTGTCAGTGCATGCTATTTTACCAACTCATAATTTTTTGCTAATGTAGGAATGTGTTGTGCAGATGATAAGTAAATCATTGGCTGTATCACAAATCTCCTATAGTTATAGTATATGACAGTGTAGTGTTAGTATGCATGAGGTAATGTTGATGCTGGATTGTAGGTCATGGCTGCTCACGCCTGACTGGGCATTTAAGTTCTATTCTCCTTTCAGCTGAGAGCAATGACCCTGAACACACACAACTCAGAAAACTCAAAGCCTAGAATGTAGTGCTGGAATGAATTGTCTCTCTTTCTTTTTCACTTTGCTTTTCCATTGATGATTCATTTTTCTAACCTCGCCATTCCAATTTCAGCACTATTTCTAACTGTACCTCCCTTTTTCTTTGGAAAAGTAGCTCCAGCACTTTTTTGCAAAAGTCACTACCACAATGCCAAAGCCTTGCAGTGCAGTGCACTGGCCCAAGTCAAAACAGTCCAACCAAAAGTATCTATGATAGTATTTGGGGTCTAGATCTTCAGTCTATGGTATTATTTTCATGTTTCGGTTGTCTGCCAGTGAATTGTAAGTGTAACAAGACACAGTATTTAAGATATCATTCTTAAGTAGCACAGACAACAAGGGATGAGTTATTCACCAAATTTGTCTTAGCAAGCACTGCTAACCATCTACAGAAAACACAATCCCTACATGTGGAACCACAGCATGGTGCCCTACATGCGGAAAGGCAAGATCGTCTGGATAAATTAGTGCAGACAGGAGCCCATGGTCTCTGAATATTGCCTGCTGCATGAGCGGTCCTTTTGTGGAGGCTACTCTTCCTCTAACTCTTGTTCATAGCCTCAGGCTCCCATTTCACAATGGACTAGATGCTATAGTTGGCTGCCATCAGTATAGCGGAAAAACCTGTCTGATGCTGGTGGGTTGACCTGGAAGCTTACACTCTTAAGCTGAAGATTACGATCTTAACCACAGTCACCATAATAAAGCAACACAGCAGGCAAAGCAAACATCCACCTGTGTGGGGCCCCATGGCGAATCTCCAGAGACTGCCAAGACTTTGTATTGTAGGTCTGTCACTGTGCATTATGCAATCTCAGCACATTAGCAATGACCTATTAGGTCTTGGCCCCTTATACAGAGCACAATTAGATCAGAGTGAGCATTTAGGCCAATGGAAAAAAGATGAGAAATATGGAGGGGGTGGAGTGGGGCGTTTCATGGTTTGGAGTCCAGAATATCTTTTAAACTACAATACTAGACAATCCGAGCTGTTTAAAGAGCACGTAGACATAAAATCGAACGTAGTGAAGGGTGGTCAAAAGGGTATCTATCATTATGTGAAATGTTAAAGACAATTTGATACAATTTCTAGTGCACAATATTTCTAAGCCAGCAATCTATACCACCTTGACAATGTAAATAAAAAAACGGGATGTCCAATCCTGCTCCTGGAGGGCCACTTTCATGCAGAGTTTAGCTCCAACCCATCTGCATGGAAATTTATAGTGATCCTCAAGACATTTATTAGCTGGTTCAGGTGTGTTTAGTTAAGACAAGAGCTAAACGTTGCTGGAAGGTGGCTCTCCAAGAGTAGGATTGGACATTCCTGGGTTACTGCAATACCTTTGTTTTTCCCTTATCCATCCTTGATGGTTCTAGGACAACATTCGTTTCGACCAATCAGTTTTTAGGATTAGGGGCTTGACAACATTTTCATCCACAATAATTTCCTATTTGAGATCAGGAGTTGAGGGTGTACTTGGGGTTGTGGATAAGGTTTGGCTGTTATATGTTTGTTTGGGATGTTGATCCAGGAGCTTGTCCAACTTGGTTAAATCACATTGCGCAACTGTATCCTTCCTTAATTCTTACCTTACTGTGGGTGGCGTCATGGGTCAGTTCAGAGCCATAATCTCTCAATGAGGGAAGGTTTGAAGGTGGGGCTAATCCCAGGATATGCTCCAGAGAGGAGTTCTGTTTAGTATAGGAGGCATAATAAGTGGGTGCGACCTTTGGCTGCTGCTGCTGTTTCTGATAACCCTGCTGATAGGATGAAGATGAGGCCATGGCTCCCTTAAACTGGCCTACATCCTCAGCTGTACAGATGTTCATTGTAAACTCCACCCCTGAATTGTCAGTCATATTGTAATCAACATGTGTACCCAGTGTTTGTGTGTGTGCCATCTGGCCATTGGGAAAACAAGGTCCATTTGTGTCCAACTGGTCTGTGAAGTCATATCCATTCCACTGGGGATCATTGTAGACCCCGTTCGGAGGGGTTTCACTACCCACAGCTGTTTTCTGTTTATACTGGAATTGATGTGATTGTGATTTACTAGTTCCTGTTACCTCGTCACCAAGTTGAGAGTTCAAGTTGGCTTGTGTGTGTTCAGGAATCCAGTGTCCATTGTGTACAGCTGGTACCGAGTTCACCAACAAAGTATCATGCTGGGTAAACGTAGTTGTCTCAGTGTCTGCTGTAGACACCTGTGGTATAGGTGCCTGGATCCAGCTCTCGGTTTTGTGGCAAACCGACTGGCCATTGAGATGTTGCTGCATACGCTGTGAGAGATGAACTATGGGTGTTATCTGTTTTTGTGGCCAGAAAGGTACGTGAGGAGCAGTCATGGAGATAGTAATTTGAGAAGCGGAATCGGAAGCAGAACATGGCTTAGGGGGTTCAATAGAATCTAATGCCGCGGCAGAGTTTTGAGCATCTGTTGAGTCCTCGATCCGGTTCTCCAGTGAGTCTTGGACGTAGGAGAGGATTTCGTTGTTGGTGAGAAGATCATTCAGAGATGGGGTGTAATCCGGATCCATCTCTACCTGGATCATCCTCTCATCCAGAAGCAGCAGCTCTAGGTCCTCTGCGATGAGTCCCAGGTTTTCCAGGGCACTGAATAGCTCACTGTTGGAGCAGCTTTCCTCATTTTCCAGGGACAGAGAGTCTAATGTTGCCAGTAGTGGGTCAAAACTGGATGGTTCCTGTTTGGAGACTGCAGTTACACCATTCTGCGCTGGATTCCAACTTTCATTTTCCGCCGAAGAAGAGAAAGTGCTAGTCTCTCCTTGCTCACTGAAGAGGCTACTGTGGAATGACATTCTAGGCTCCATAGCAGGCTGGCAAACGTAAACAGACTCATCCTGTCTCATCATGGCTCCCAGCAAAGAACTTGGGTCCAGATCATCCTTTGAACTTTTGTCCACCTTGCTCTTTTTGGTTTTGTTGTTCTTGCCTTTGCCCTGAAGGATGTCAGAGAAACCTGGCATGGGGTAGCTGATTTGATACAGCAGAGCTTCTCCAGTAGCAAAGGTGAACGGAAGATGCATAGATCGCTTCCTCAAATGCTCTCCACCCTCTTCTTCTCTGAATAAATGAATAAAAAACTTTGTCAGTGGATGTGTAAGAAGTACATTCAACAAAATCTTGCTAATTCGACCATGCTATTTAACAGTTTAAAGGTGAACACTAGCATGTTAATCAACTACATCTATTTTGTAAATTGTTAGTGCAGAAATATAAATGGATATTAGCCATAATATACTTACACAAGAGGCCTCTGGGTGGCAATGATGTAGTCAGGCTTGCCGTTTTTGTGGACAAGTCTAGCGTTAGCTTGTACCCATTTCCAGTGGTTGTCCTTTGTAAGCAGTCTAAAAACAGTCAGGCCGCTTTCTCCAGTCTTGATCACTGCAATAGACAATGCAACAGTATTTAAACCCAGTTATTAGTTGAAACATACACATCAGATTTTTCTGCCTTGTTGCTTTTTTCTGCTAATAGATGTTGGCTCCATATTGATTTACTGATTTTACTGGATTTAAGGCTCTAGTTCACATGTCCCTCTACTCCTAAAATCAAGGATTTATCCAATCTCCTCCATAATCTATGGCAGTGGTTCTCAAACCTCTCCATGAAGTACCCCCAGCACTGCACATTTTGTATGTCTCCCTATATCTGACACACCCACTTCAGGTCTTGCAGTCTCCACTAATGAGCTGATGAGTTGAATCAGGTGTGATAGATGAGGGAGACATACAAAATGTGCAGGGCTGGGGGTACTCCAGGACAGGTTTGAGAACCACTGATCTATGGCAGGGGTGGCGAACGTCGGTCCTGGAGTGCCGCAGCCCTGCAGAGTTTTGCTTCAACCCTAATCAAACACACCTGAACAAGCTAATCGAGGTCTGAACGGTTAGAAGGAAGCTACAGGCAGGTGAGTTTTCATTAGGGTTGGAGCTGAACTCTGCAGGGCTGCGGCTCTCCAGGACCGGAGTTCGCCACCCCTGATCTATGGGATTATGGGAAAACATTCCTCCTCCTGTCTCTTGCTCTGTCTGTCTCTTTTTTACACTTCTTGCTATAGACCATCACAGAATAATCAGAATTCAAAAGTCCATACAATTGATAATATCAGTCGATTTCACTTCCTGTGATAACATCTATAGATTATCTCCTGTGAACCAAGCTGAATGAAAATACTGTCACTTGTTCAAGTATTTGCCTAAGAGCACACTGCTCATGTCTTTTAGTGTCACTAGTTTATTTTAGACACAAAGCCTTTGGCAACAATGTCAGCATGCATCAGCAGAAAGACAGCTCATCATAGCTGTTTCTTAATTTTCACGTAATTCAGTCAATCACATTATTAGTTATGTAGCATTTTCAACATAAGTTTCTTTAGGCTGAATTTGACTTTCTTGAACAATAAAACTCCAAAATGACACATCTGAAAATCTTACTCCTGACATGGTTCTCAGCACAATAGAGCATATCAGCTGCATGGATGAACTGGTACCCTGAACCACGAACTCGCAGCTCTGCCTCGGTGTAGCCAAGAACGATTTTACCCCTACAACAAAGGCAAAACCAACATCAGTGATTCTTACATAATTTTCTATTGTACTTATGGATATATAAACATGTGTATACAATGCACGTTACAACTCTTTCAAAAGAAACGTCCATCATTACTTAGCATCACAGGCCATTGGGGTGAAGTCCAACTTGTGTTTGGTTCTGAAAATCATGTTCTTGGTTCGGATCTCCATTATGGAAGGAGGCTGTAGGGGTGTCGCTATGGCAAACAGGGCAAGCTGGGGTGGCATTTGGCCTCCGTCATCCAAACGCCTGTTCTGTCCATGCAGGAATTTCAGACGTCCTTGAAGATTCAAGGCCTTAATGGGGCATAAATGACAATGAATATTGGAATTTGTACTATACAAAAAAATAAATAAATAAACTTAAAAAAGGCATAACGTGAAAAATGTGAAAGTGGACATTAATTTAAATATGGAATTTCATCTAATAATTATATGTTTCAAATGCATGGCAACTACTACAAAAAGAGCAAACAAACAAGAATAATAAAAATATGACATGCAAAAAATTATGTCAAAATGCATTTGCATGAAAGACGTACATAACCGATACACGTGATATATGAACATACACAGCTGGAGCTGAATGATTTTGTTGCCGTGCCCTTGGCAAACCACATAATTTGTCTCTGACTCAGTGTGGGCAATAGAACTCAATCCAGGTCATCTATTAATGAAGGCTATGACCACAATGTGTCATATCTGAATGTTTGCTTGTTTGTGATTGGTTAGTCAACCTTACAACTTTTGTTCTGACTGGCGGAGATTAAGCCATCTAAAAGTGAGTGTTTTATGTATGTTAGCCATAATTAATTTAGTGCCACTTATGAATATGCACAAACATAAAACTACAATACAATATATTTTGTGGCTGGAAGGCACTCTTGATAACCTATTTTTGTTGTTGTTTAATTTCTGGGTGAGCTGTTCCTTTAAGGCTTGTAAATTATGTGATGTCTTGTGTAATGCCTGATTTAAAGTAGTTCTACTTATGTAAGGCTGACTTTGTGAAGTATTAATACAGAGACACACATTCACATACACAAACGGAAAACGTTAGTCAAACTATATTTCATTTGGCGCAAATAAAAATGAAGCTTTCAGCATGAATTTCCAAGTTGGCGGTGTGTCAATTAAATAATCATGATGGAAGCTAATTGGACATAATGACGTGTTCATTGTGAACCTCCCAAGAGAACATAATAGTTGCATTCAAAAATGCCAAAAGGACCAAAAAAAAAAAAAAAAACATAATGGAAAAGAGTTTGAGGTTGCTCATATTTATAGCTCATGCTAATGAATTTCTCTGAACACATGGGGAGACCCCTGTTAGCGTTCCGCTCCTGACAAATTAAGTGTAGTCATGCTATTCTTGAGGGAGATGGATTTGGTAAAGATGGAGTGGAGGGGAAAGAAAGTAAAAGAGGGAGACTGAAGAAATAAAGGGCTAGAGTACAGAGAATTAGTGCAGTAGTGAGCTTTGCACGCATACGTATCTCTTCACTACCACAATGCCAAGATTAGCAAAAAAAGAATGAATGGGAAAAATACTTTTGGAATAAAGACAGCTGAAAGAGCTGGTGGTTACTATTGCGCTCCATACTGTAGCTAAAGCCTGGCTTTCTTCAAATTAGCTTTAATTTATGCTAACAAGAACAGGTTCTCGCTATTATGCTCTATTTCTTCTAGGACAAATTAAAACCTGTTTCACATGACCCTATTGCTCCTTTAAGACGGATTACAGAGGTGTTCCAAAAATTCTGATCTCTGTGGCTGCTAGAGGCGCAATCCAACACAAAGTTAGCTCCACTAACCTAGATGCTAACTCACTCTGTAATCTGGAACATCGGGGCTTAGAGACTTTGAATAGCAAGATATTTTCCATCATACTAATATTAAAATTCCAACAGTATTTCCATAGTTCATGTGTAGGCAACTCATTAGGTTTTGAGAGCAAAATAAAAGCTTTAGCTATTTGACACTGACCAGGAATCCCGAAGAATTGTCTAGGAGGCAACGGAAACGACAGACGAAATTTCTCTCCAGGAAAGAGGAGTTTTCGGGAGGCAGCTGGTCAGGGTTGCATGTCACAGGGGCAGGATCTCCATCTAAGAGAAACAAAAAAGAACTTAGGGTACTTTCACACCTGGCCCGTTGTTTCAGAACCTGGCGCGTTTCCACCCTTAGCTCGGTTCGTCTGGGCATATGTGAACACGGCAATTGCACCCAGATCCGCGCCAAAACAATCGGTCCGAGATCGCCTGAACGAGGTGGTCTCGGCTCGATTGAAAACGAACTCTGGAGCGGTTCGGTTGTAGTGAGAAAGCAATCCAATCTAACGGACCAACGAACCAGGCTATATCACAATGTATAATGGGTAATTAAGTAAGTTCCGTGAAAAGCATTAGCTTTGTTGTTTTACTAAAATCTCTAAATGAACCTGTGAATGTCTCTGGGTGAGCACGTCTTCGCCATTCAAAATCAAAGCGCACTTTTTTATTTTATAATTCCGTTTTATTGCTCTTCTTCCTAGTAGGTGCATTTTAAAAAATGTTTTCCCGATGAATCCTGGACTCCTGCTCAAAATGATAAATTAATATAACGACAGCTACCAAAAAACCCAACAATAAGCCCGCGAAGCTTTTGTCGTTCCATCCTGACGGATGACAGCCGTGACAGCGGTGGAATCCCAGAAAATAAACCGTGGAACTTTGACCAATGAGAGAACAGTTTACTCACGTGTGACTTGTATTAACAAATTTGGTCCGTTTAGAAACTTTGCCGTGTGAAAGCGAACCGCGCCAAAAATTAAAAACAACATTGTAATAATTTGAATCCCTGTTTTGTAACAAAGTAATCGATCTACAGGTGTGTAAGCACCCTTAGAGTCTCAGTAGTGTGACTTTTTCAACTGGAGGTCATCACTGAATTATCCACTAACCACTGTTTCTGTTTTTTTCCTTTCTGTTTGCTGTTATCCTTAATTAAAATGGACATTTTAGTGACCATAACATTTATTTTGCAACTCCAGGAGCTTCCACTAAAGGTCAGACCACCCTCCCCCTCTCATTTTTTCAAAAATAAAAAAATAAAAATAAAAAACTCTCTTTTTCTCAGTAAACTATTCATTTGAATATTCGCTTAAAAGTTTTGGTTCTTTTATCATTAATTTGTTATGAATAATTAAAATATTAAAATAATATAAGTCCTTTTTTTTGCAGAATTTCAGGCAAAAATAACTCAATATAGTGCTACCATGATATAAAATGATGTATTTCCTGACCTTGTGGTGATTCTTCTGTCTGCGTGCTGGTTGGAGGCGGGTTCAAGGCCCAGTGTAAGTTGCGTCTGAAGGCCTGCTGGTCTTCAGTATGAATGAGTTCAAACAGATTTTGATGCATCACATCTGTCTGGGTAACTGAGGACAAATGAAGAGGGACAGTGTGAGAGAATTAAGTTGAAAGGATGTAACATCACTTTATGGTTTTAAAAAGTTTCAGGACCAACTACAAATATGTAAAGTAATGTTTGGGATCTGTAAGGTTTTTAATGTTTTTGAAAGAAGTCTCTCATGCTTAAGGCTGCATTTATTTGATAAAAAATCCAGTAAAAACAGTAATATTTTGAAATCTTATTACAATTTCAAATAATTGTTTTCTACTGGAATATATTTTAAAATCTCTGAAATTACTTTATTCACTGAAAAATGGCTTATTTCTGACAGCATCAACTTTGACCTGCTATCAAATTCCCTCTTTTCTTGTCTAAACACATTCATACGAACAAAAGGAGGACATCGTAAGCACAGAAAGTAAACAAATATAGTGACGTCACAGTTGGATAATTCGTAAGTAAATTATAATGAATTGGATTATGCTGTGCCAGACTGAATCTCAGAGTAAAGCCTGTTTGATTAAGCGCATTCAAATTCTCCCGCATTCAAACTGCTGCTCGAGAGAGACGCTGCAGTATTAATCAGCATTAGGCAGATCTGATGAGTATATATATATATGTGTGTATGTATGTGTGTGTGTGTGTGTGTGTGCACTAAGAATAGAGGTGAGAAGAAGTATGGAATGGTTATCCAACAGGTGAGTCTGACGTAATTCTGATTCTGGGAAAGTGTACGTACAGGGCATCCTTATCAATCAGATTAAAACTGTGTCACCTGCAAACTCATTACGTCATGCCTGGTTTGGACATAATTTAAGTGCATAAGTAGCCCTACTACAAAATAAAGGCCTATTTGCACCAAGAGCGACGCGTCAAAGTAGCATTTTTACACTTTTTAAAAGATAAACGTGTTGAAACAATATATGTTTTGTTGGTATTTCATGAGGAAATATATAGCAAAATCCAATCCCAAAATTCATATCCCAAATATACTGACTGTAATTCTGCTGTCTATTGGATTAGTATTAGAACAGTGGCTATATGATACATATGTGTTTATGTAAGAGACTGTTGAGAAGGATAATTACCTGGTAGAATCCTAAGTAATCCTGGATGGTGTGAGAACAGTAGAAAATGATCCCCTCAGCAGTGACCACCAACACAAAGCCATTAAGAGCCTGTGACCATAAACAAATGAACGAACAAACACAGGAAATACAATTATTACTTTATTGGTCATAAAGAAGATTATGGAAGCCTGTTTCTGCCAAAGAATAAAAAAATAGAAAAGGTAAAAAAAAAGTCAGAATTGTTAGATATAAACCCAGTATTCAGAATTTTTTTTCTTGGAATTCCAAGTTTATATATCACAATTGCAATTCTGACTTTTTTCTCAGAATTCTACAATTACATCTCGCAATTCTGACTTTTTCTGACTTCCATAGCTGATTGAAAACCTGCTTTTTAAATGAATCACTACATTATTCTCTCAATTTGTTTTTTAAAGAACCCCAAAATGGCTTGACAAGTACAGTTTTCTTTTCTGTGTTGATGTATTTCCTATTAAAAGGAAGTTGGTACAGAGCATATCAACCAATTTTTGAAAAATGTCCAATAGTCATTTGTTTAAGCTAGTCATAAACTGAAACAAAATTTAACTGAAAGGAGAGACATTTTTTCCTTATATGTGCTACAAGTACAGTTATTTGAGTACACTAGCGTATGACATCTTGTTCTGTGTGTGTATTTTTGTGGAGGGGATTTTGCAGCTCATCACCATCTGGTGGGCTCTAAGTGTGGATCTGTAATTATGGTAATCTGACACATCCACAGACAATACAAAAACAACTGTGTAACTGTGTATACAAATCTACCATCGATAAAACCCTCAAGCACTGAGTGTGACAGTCAAATAAGTATGTTGGTATAATTTTTTCACTTTTTACAAGTACCCGATTCTTTTGAGAACATTCTTAAAAATGTGAAATACATTTATAATTTGAAATTAAATATAAAATAAAACTAAATTACTGTTAAATTCTGAAACCTAGACTAACATTATATGTCGATATCATGGGAAAAAAATTACTATAAATACTACAACATGGAAAATGGTTCTTTTAATAACATTAATAAGAAGAAAACAAACACAGATTCACAGAGAAGCCCCAAAGTGCAACACTGTACTTCGGTCTGAGTGTAAATAAGGGCTCTCTTGAAATCCTACGAATGTTTTATTTAGGCTGTGCTTGTGTTTGTGTTGCAAACACTTTCTAAATGCAAACTGAACCCTTTAACCTAAAATGATATGATAAGGTAACAAGCAATAAATCATTAAATCATCTCTTCCACTTTAATCTGTGATTGTTTTTGCCAGATAATATGTACATAATAATGTGCTGCAGTGTGGTAACATCAACAAATAAGCCTCAAGAATTAGTGTGCGTTACCCCATCATGAATGGTACAGCAGTTTATAGGGTTATATCTTCCCTCTTATTATACCTTCCCTCTCATTTGCCTGAACATCTGCATTGCATACCAACACACACACACACACACACACACACATGCACACGCATACTAATTCATACATGCACACCTGGTCCAAACACACTCAGAAAACATGGTCGAGTAGCAGCGCTCAGAATAAATATTTCGGCTTGTTGGTTGGCAGAACAGCCCACATGGGGCTCTTGCGGGGCAGGAGGGGGAGGGAGGATGTGCAGTCAGGAAGCATTACTATCAAATATGTACCACTGCATCGTTCACAGTCCAGCACACACAACACACACACAACTATACAGAACACAGGGGAGACAGTGCGAGAGAGAGAGAGAGAGAGAGAGAGAGAGAGTATGAGGTAGAGTATGAAGCAGAGAAACAACAGAGCTGAGATAGATAGATAGATAGATAGATAGATAGATAGATAGGAAGGAACGAAGGAAGGAAGTAAAGCAAGGACAGAAGGAAGAAAGGAAGAGGAATGGATCGATGGAAGGAAATAAGGGAAGAAGCAAGGAAGAAAAGAAAATAACAGGAAGAAAGGTAGCACATGACAGGAAGGAAGGAAAGAAGGAAGATAACAGGAAGGAAGGAGCATGACAGGAGGGAAGTAAAGAAGAGATGGATCGATGGATGTAAAAAAGGAAGAAGCAAAGGAAGAATGGAAAGAAGGAAGGAAGGAAGGCATGTATCGATAGAAGACAGAAAGTAAGGCAAAACAGACCGAAAGAAAGGAAAGAAGAAATAGGAGTAAAGAAAGGAAGGAAAAGACAGAAAGAAGCAAGGAAGCAAGGAAGGAAGGAAGCAAAGAAGGAAGAAAGGAAGGATGAAATAGACAGGAATGAAAGATAAAGGATAATTAGAATGTGAAAGCATGTGTGATGAAATGAAAACACAGATGTGAGTGGACAGGTGGTTCAAAGTTCTTAGTCACCGGATGGACAGAGCAAAACTTTCAAAGTAAAAAAAATTTATAAATAAAGTAGAATAAGAGAATACTTTTACCTCTTATTTTATCCTTCCTTTATAATACATGAGATCTCTATATGTGCATTATTCATGCCTAAGTGTCTGAAACGAGAACAAGGCTGGGCAGAAATAGCCTCTCCTCTTTTCTCCTCTCCAGGACATTGTTTAAAACGTCTCTTTATAACATGCTATGAAGGCACATGGACGCCATACACACACACACACACGCACGAACGCACGCACGCACACACACACACACACACACACACATGTCTGGTTTGCTATCCTTGTGGGGACATTCCATAGGCGTAATTGTTTTTCTACTGTACAGACTGTATATTCTATTGCCCTACACCAACCCTAGCCCTAAACCTACCCCTCACAGGAAACTTTCTGCATTTTTAGATTTTCAAAAAACTTCATTGAGTGAGATTTATTAGCTTGTTTACCCGTGGGGACCTCAATTTAGGTCCCCACCGTGACACGAGTCCCCATGAGTCTGTGTGTATTCAGGTTTAAGTACTCACCAGAATAGAAAAACAGGTACACACACACACACACACACACACACACACACACACGTGTTTGTCCTTCTGACCTGTAGTAGGAGCTCTCCTTCATGCAGCCAGCCATCAACCAATCCTGTTGCTTTACTGTTGTCATGGTTACTGTTGTTTGCTGACAAACCATTGCAGCTGTGGTTTTTCAGAGTGACTGTTGACAGAAAAAGATAAATAAATATTTACATAATGTATGTTGTACGACTATAGTTAGCAGTGTTTATTAAGTGAAGCATCACTATTACTCACTACTGTATATGTATGTTCAGTGGATACTCTCCAAAATGGCACCAGGGTGACGCAGAGGAGACCCCTGATGTCAGAGACCCCTGAACCCCTGATGTCACATGAATTATTTTACCGATCTCCTTGCTACGTTTCTGGACCTTGATCGTGGTAATTACGTTGCTGTCTATGAGAGGGTCACAGAGCTCTCATAATTCATAAAAAATATCTTAATTTGTGTTCCGAAGATGAACGGAGGTCTTACGGGTTTAGAACGACATGAAGGGTGAGTAATTAATGACAGAATTTTCATTTTCGGGTGAACTAACCCTTTAAGTCTTCAAGTCTTTGAGTTCATATTGAGATCTCTGACTTTATTACAGATTTTACAGAAACTGAGCAGAGATTGAGACATCGTTGAGAAGAAACACAAGAATTAAAATCTTAGAAGCAGAGATTTTACCCAACAGTCTCCATTAGTTAAATTATGTTCTATTCAGTTAAAATACAGTTCCCTCTCGAGCTTTCACGAGACATCACGGAGATATTGCTCCGTTATGGGAACTCCTTCCCTTCCAACCTTTCCTGAAGTCCTATGCACCTGGCTCTTCCCAGCGGAGGGATAACCCCAGGCCAGCAACCGCAGCGGTGACGGCTAACGTTACTGCTCCTCGCCAGGAGCCGGATTTCCGGAGGAAGGCGTGGGGTCCCGGGAGGAAACGCCACGGCCTGCGTAGGAGCCCGCAACGTGACTCTCGCCCACCGCCGGCGGCTAAGCCGTCGTCCTGACGGTCTGAAGAGAGGAGGAGAGTGCGTGAGCGGCTCGGCTCCCAAGCGCCACAAGCTCATGTTTTCAAATGTTTGTGTGTTGGATGTTCATTCAATAAAAATGCATACATTATCACAAAAAGAGCTATTTCCTCCTCACTCAGTCAATGCGGTGCCACTCGCCCCGCCTCAGAGCAGTGCAGAGCCGCCGCCCACACACTCGCCGGCGCATCCAACGACCAAGCCGCAAAAGCCGCTATGTCAGTTCCTGAGCGTGTGGGAAGTTATTCCGGGAATCTCACACTGGCTACTCGGTGTGATAGAGCGTGGGTATACCCTTCAATTCAGACGCAGACCACCCCGTTTCAATGGCGTGGTGCAGTCTCTAACATTGCCCCGAAACGCCCTGGTTCTGAGACAAGAGGTATGCAGTCTGCTCGAAAAAGGAGCGATAGAATGAGTCCCTCCCAGCGAGCTATTCCGTGGTACCCAAAAGAGACGGGGGACTCCACCCGATTCTAGATCTCAGGCCCATCAACAGAGCGTTTTGCAAGCGTCCTTTCAGGATGATAACGCTGAAACAAATCCTGGCGCAAATTCGCCCCGGGGACTGGTTTGCGTCCGTGGATTTAAAGGACGCATACTTTCACATTCAGATAGCACCGCATCACAGACGCTTTCTGAGGTTTGCTTTCGAGGGCACAGCGTACCAATACTCTGTTCTCCCGTTCAGGCTGGCTTTGGCCCCGCGCACTTTCTCGAAGTACATGGATGCAGCACTTTCCCCCCTTCAGGAAAGGTTGGAAGGGAAGGAGTTCCCATAACGGAGAAATATCTCCGTGATGTCTCGTTCCCGCTCTCAGGGAACCGAGGTTACGATAGTAATCGGAGCGTTTTCAAACAGGTTTCCCATACACTCTGCCATTGGTCAGGCGGACAGATGGCCCCGCCCCAAACTCACGCCATTGGCTGAGCCACTGTTGCCATGCCAGGCTGGTCGGAATTTTTAAACAAACAGAGCAATTATAGAGCCACAGAAACACAGTGATTCAAGGATCTCAACCTATAGAAATACGTTAAACTATAATTAATTATACAAATATATTAAACTGACAGGAAAAAACAATTTTAACATCCAAAAATTGCTTAAAATGTAATTTAAGGTATGCCATACTTTCTTCTACTTAGTTTTCAATACGCGCTCTAAAAATGAGTCTGTGCTGTTTTCGTCGTGGCCATTAATGGATTTGCTCTGTGTGGCCCTCTCTCAGGACAAGACAAACTCTTTTGAGCATTAGTGGAGGAACTGACCTACAAACGACAGGGGAAATGGAGAGAGACAGGCCAGGCCAGGAGAACAGGGATATGAAAAGCTTTTGCACTGACAGAGAGAAAGAGAGAGACAGAAAAGGAAAGAGGAAGCACTTTTCACTTGTGAGAACATACGTGGAAAACGCATTTGGGCACGGTGAGAGAAAGGTCACCTCGCTCTCGCTCCTAACAATCTAGCAACGACATAAGCAAATTTGTCATATTTTATTAGCATCTTGTGGCTGATATTAAACCTGTGAAGTGCTCAGCACAGTTGCGAACATTTGTTTGTTGTTATTGTCCAAAAATGTCCACAATAGCTGAACTACTATTTACACCAATTATTTCCATAACCAAAAACTCACTCAAGCAAATGCCTCTAGATGTCATGAAAACTAATTTTGATGATTACATTTGGCTCCTTTTGTTCTCCTGCAGCAACCTGACCCTTTTAATAGTCCTGACGCATGACCTGTCATGACCCCTGACCGCTGTCAAGACATGATACAATGAGTGACAAAGAGGTTGACGTTATTCCTTGAGACATATTTTAATTAACATAAAAATATCTATATTATTTAAAAAAATATTTTTGTGAAAGAATAAAGAGTTAAAATAATTTACATAATTCATCTGGACAGGTTAATCACTTCATAATAAAGCGGACAACAATTTTTCTAAACATTTATGTTTTTTGTTAAACCTTGGTGTCCCAATGGAGAACTATTTTTTTATATTATTAAATATTTATTTATTTTATTTTATATATTATTTTATTTTATATTTATTTATTTATGTTATATTTTATATATTATTTTATTTTATATTTTCATATTCTATATTTACATTTTTTTTGGTTGTTTATTTTAATTTACATATGCTAGCATTATAAAGTAGCTGCCTGTCAGTCACGCAAATGTTTTTAGCATAGCATATTTTAGAAGATTAGGCTTTGTTATGACCATAGCAAGCATAGCAGCAGTTAGTGCTGAAAACAGGAGGATAAGAGCGTTTTGGTGCCCCTGACAATCCTTCTTATATGCTTCAAAGAGCGACGGGATGTTTAAGGCCTTTTTCTCAGGATCTTTAGCTCCTATCTCAAAGAGCTGGAGACAAAGGGTGAAGGGCCACAACCAAACAGAGACCCAACTCTGCACGCAACAACACATGTATGTATGCCAATGACACTGCGTCATTTACAAATGAAAGCAAATGAGCAACAAAAACATGAAAACGAAGAGATTATGAGCACATCCAGGTCACATTTCACCCAAAATCAAAATAATAATACAAAAAAGTGAACCAAAAACTGTACATAACAACAAACATAATAATACCTAAAAATAAATTATAAATAAAAATATTATAATTAAAAATATTTAAAAAGTTTTCTTTATGCAAAATATTTGTCTTATAATCAGGGTCGTCTTATATTCGGGCCAATACGGTATATTCTTAGCGTATTTATAAGACCATTACATATTTCTGCACTGCAAAATAATCAATGTTCTTAAAGGCTTTATTTTCTTAAAGGCATTCTTAATGTATGCTGTAAGCACTTGAAATGCATATAGGCGAGTGTTGCCGTACATTAGGTGACAGATGAGTTAGTGATTCCCTTCGGAGGGGATTCGAAGGGTTTCCGGGCTCGTCCGAATGCTCGTGCTGTGAGGGTTTTACTGTGTTTATGGAGCTGTGCTGTTGTGGGACAATGCACATTGCGTCCCTGAGCGTGCAGCATCTCTGGGGACGGAGGCTCTGGAAAACCTGTGCTAAACGTTTTGGCTTGATTTCTTGTGGGTTTACTGACGGAGTCAAAACAGCTGCGGGGAAACATGAATGAGGTAATTCAAACGTCAGCATTAAGATATTAGTAGTAGGAAGAAGGAAGAGATAAAGTTTTACAATTTTAACAAATAAATATTAAAATATTATATTAATTCTAAAAAATAGAAATGTTAAAATAAGTTTATATATATATATATATATATATATGAGTTAATATATTATATTGTTAAAAAACGAAAGAATTAAAATAATTAACATAACAGTATTATGTTTAGGGCTGGGTATCGTTCAAAAATTTTCGATATCGATACCGATACCTTGACTTCGATACCCCTGAACGAT